ATTTTGTTCGAAACTTCATCATCCAGTAAACAGTAATACTGTTTCACTGTGAGATACATCTAATAAACAAACTAATATGGAATTACTTACTACCACAGTGACCAAGTTTTACACATATATTACTTGTAGGCAATAAAAAAAACGAGTGAAAATGATGTCATCATCAATCAATGTCTTCTCAGGCATGATTCGCCATCTCTGTGTTGTTCAAACTGTAGGTACAATGTGTAAAGCATAACTTATAAACAAGAAAAGTGTGGAGGGTGGGTTGGCGAGGCTGTTCGATTAAAAATGCAATGAACAAAGTTGTGGTCACCACGCCAAAAGGATTCAAATGTGCATCATCAATGGGCACTGGTTGACACTAGCGTTAGAATTCACAAGTCATTACATATTCAACTCACTGGTTGAATGAATAATCAACGCGTTGGCTTTATAATCTGAAGATAATGGGTCCCAGCCTTGCTGTAGTAGTCATGACAACGTAGTGTTGAAGAGTTCAAAACCAGGTCGGAAAAAAGGGGTTGGATAACCCCACCCTTTTAGTTCTCAAGGATTCTCCAACTAATAATGTTGGTTATGACGAAACTGATACTAAAATTATAGCTTCCGGGTTCTTGATAAAAAAAATACCGTCTTACATGCAACCGTTCCTGTTAATCTCATGTTATCATCATAACAACGACTTGTGAGAAATAAATATCCCGTCTCAAAAGGAACAGAAATTCACACATCTAAGGAATAGACATAAATAAATCTAGACATTTTGATCTCCAAACTACCACCTACCTGGCCACCTCATTTAAAAAAAAATTCTACAGCCCTCGCAATTTTTTAATGAGGAGGTATCTGAACTCTAAAGACTAAACGTCATACAGATAAAAACTAGGTGAGAAACTCAAAAATTAGAAATCTCCTTCAGAGAGGGATCTGAAAAACTACTCAATGCTCACTAGTGACTTGCTACAGGATGGAGTTTCCTGGAGTCAGTCCTAGTGAGAAGCCGTGACCAGTGAGGTTCAATTAGATGCCACGTGTGTGGATGGATGTCCCATCTACGACAATGGCTATGGTCGCACTAAATCACGAATTGGTAGAAGTCAGAATTCATGAGCTGGTCAGTGAATCGGGTCCCAATGGCTGAATGGTGTACGAGGTATCTTGGCTTGTAACCGGAAGGTCCTGGGTTCGAACGCTGGCGGTGATGATTCCCAAACTAGGATGAAACAGCTGTCCAGTGCTCCCTGAGGCTGGTTTTCAATGGTTCTCTAACTGATATCAATCCGTGATAAACTCGTGAAAACATAACTAACCCTTACAAACCAAACTATAGAAAACTACTCAATATAAAACACACTTGTAGTCAAACAAATCGTTCACCTCTATAAGAAATAATTAACACATATGTATACTATGTGAATGCTATGCGTCACTCTAAACAACATACATTGTTTTGAGATAAGAGTCATGAGAACCACATAGAAGACTATCGAACCTCAACAACCTAACATATCACAGAATGCAATCGAACAAGAAAAGGAATCAGAACTGGTAGGTAATTCCATTAGGAGTTTTTTTATTTCATCACATGAAAGAGTTTTCGCTACCGTCTGTCCCAATGAAGAACATTCTTTTGGCAATAAATAATGGCCAGTTACGCAGCAGATATATTTCCACAGAGAGAGAGAGAGAGAATAATAATATCCACCGCATAGTTGGGTATTATATTGATTTTATTTTTGTATTCCTTTACTTTCCCAGTGTGGAACACAGGGCTACTTCAAGCTAGAGTCTTTTTTGAAGTTTCTGTAGGAGTGGTGTTTTGTTTTTTACGGCATGGGGTTTCTAGCCTCACGCCCAACCTCCCCTTTTTACCAGTAGTTATATTGCTGGCTTAGCGAGATAAAGGAGTGAGTGCGTCGATGGTGGCTGGGAATCGAATCCCAAGCCACCTACGTGGAATCCTTTAATGTGAGGACGGGAGTAAGACGAGGCTGGCTGGCTACTATCGTCAATGAATTTCCTAATTGCAGTAGATTGGATAATCCGACAGACAGCGGACAGCGAGGATCTGGACTTCGCCCATGATGATATATGTCTGATTTCCCACAAACTGGAAGATATGCAATTGAAAAGCAACGAGTTGGCAGGAGAAGCATCACGAGAATATAGGACTTCAGGTGAACATAGAGAAAACAGAGGTGATGAAGATTCCTGGCCAACACCAACAGGAACAACAGCAACAGACAACAATCAGCCAGCATAAATGGGAGGAACCTGAAAGAAACAACTTCCTTTACCTACCCACCTGCGAAACATCGTTTCAACTACAGGCAGACGGAACTGACGGGGATATCAAAGCACCGAGAATCGGGAAAGCAAGACAAGCGTTCATTACTCTCAAAGTCTGTGTGCAGGAGGTCAATAGAATTACTCAGCATGAGAATCAAAATAACATCCGGATTTTCAACTCCAATGTGAAGCTAGTCAGTGCTACTCACTATATGGATCAGAGACTTGCTCTGGACGTCATAAAGAGCACCTCAAACAAACTACAGACCTTCATCAACCGCTAGCTGTCTTCGCTCAATACTCAAGATCAGATGGCCGGTTAGAAAAGATCAGCCACATGAAGGGATCTCTGGCAATGAGCGAACCAACACAACAGGAACCGATTGTGCAACAAATAAGCAGGAAGAAATGGAGGTGGATTGGATTGGTCATATTCTGAGAAAACAAGCCATCAAGTGACATCACTAGATAAGCCATTGCTCGAGTGGAATCCGAAAGGGAAGTGGCGAGTTAGTTGGCTGTCAGTGCTAGGGTGACTTGGAGTAGGTCATGTGAAGAGGAGATGAAAGCGTATGGGTAGACTTGGTGCCAGGTGAAAACGTTGGCAGAGAACCGAACGCAATGGAGACTCGCGGCTAGGAATTAAAGGAAGTAATAATAATAATAATATTTATAACTGTAAGGGGTTGAAGAGGTGGATTCACTGAATGTGAAGAATATACTTCGTTCAAACCTGATTTCAATTGATGACATAGATAGAAATGGTTTCTCATATGCTCAATTTTTTTACAGTTCTAAACAGCCCGCAACACGTCTGTGACAGTATGGCAGAGTGTATGTGCGTGTGTGTCTAGCCAACAACAACATCATTGTATCAAAATCAACGCCTTATTGGTCAATTATAAAGTCACGTGATAAGTCCACATACGCATCACGCGTGTCTATCGAATTTGCTTTTATTACAACAATTCAACTTTATCAGTTTGACTGAATGGAGAAGGAGTCCGTCTTCAATGTGTATAAAACAGTTGCAAAAAAGTGTATCGTATTTATTATTTCCTATCGTCACATTCTATATAACACACATAACGGTGAATAAAAAACCAGTCAAAAGAACCATAAGAAAAACATGATGAAACATGATAATTCGGTGGATCTGAGAGATTGAAAAGATTGAATATAATCTGCACACCATTGAGCAATATTATTAACAGTTTCAAACTATGGAGATTTTAGCATCTCTAAGACCCCAACCAGGAGGTCTGCACCATTATGGATAACACTTCATTTTGATAAATCACACAGTGCTGTTATACACTAAGTAATATTAACTGATTCGACCAAGTTTCGAGCACAAACTATTGACACTTATAATCATATCAAGTCACTCACACACGTAACTTTTTACTTCATTTATATACATGAGTGGAATTGATGATTAGACATTTGAATAAAAATCAATATGGGATAATGTACATTCAGAAATAATAATAATATGAGTGTTATTGATCAAATACAGTCAGATGGGAAATAAGACGAGTGTTTTTTAAAGTCATAATCAATAAGTAACTTGTTAGAATGTTGTGATGTACGTGAACTGAATTGAAATAGAATTTTAAGATTATTTATTATCCTCCTCTCATTGAATCTGCACCCAACACAACACATTCAACAGAAATGACTCAATGCATATACCAGAAATATGCATGGAAGATACTATTACCACCAGTCAGTCAGTCAGTTAGTCAAATCAGAGTAGGATAATAAATAATCTCAAATTGTGTTCTATTTCAATTCAATTCACGTACATCACAACATTCTAACAGGTTACTTATTACTGATGACTATAACAACACTCGTCTTATTTCCCATCTGATTGTATTTGATCTATAACACTCATATTATTATTATTATTTCTGAATGCACTTTATCCCGTATTGAATTTTATTCAAATGTCTAATTGTCGATTCCACTCATGTATAAAAATGAAGGAAAAAGTTGTCTGAGTGACTGACTTGATATGATTATGAGCAGTAGTAATAAATTGTGCTCGAAACGTGGTCATCAGTTAATATTACTGTATAACAGTCCACTGTGTGATATTATCAAAATAAAATCTTATTCATAATGGAGTTACACTCCACCGCCACAGTGCCCAACTTTTATACTTATACTGAAGGGTCGTTGCATCTTTTTGTTTCAAATCGTAGAAAATACCTATTGGGATATTACAGAGAAAAAAGAACAAAAAGTTGAGTAACGATAACTTTTGGGGCCGCGTTTACACTTCCAAATCTTGTCAAAGTGTGAATGTAAAATTGAACTTCGGCCGGGGATCGAATCCCGGACCATGTGCATGGTCGGCGAGCTGTGCCACCAAACTTCTTTGAAGGCTGCATCAAATATCATCTCAGTATCCAAAGTGGTTCCCGAAAAGGTATTTGTCTGTCTGTCTCTCTCTCTAGCACGCGCGCTACGGGGCATCATATTTCTCCCAATTTCAAAATTTCAACAAACTCTAAACAATTCGGGGTATAAAGAGTAACCACAACTTGATCTGACCCCATAAACAAACAAACAAACCGTATAATAATCAATAATAATAAATATCATCAACATCATCGTCATACCACCAATATATATTGGAAATAAAAAAACTAAGCGTTTACACTGAAAAACTCTTTATTTTTTTCAAAAAACACTTTCTCTTTAATAATGTATGTATATATATTCACAGTAATTTGAGCTTCTCACTCTCTCTGGAGAGGGAGAGGGGGGCGAAAGTGACCCCTCTATAGACACAAACAGACAGAAGAAGACGGGGAGGGGAGAAGACAAATCGATTAATGATTGCATGAAGACAAACGGGTCAACAACAACAACAACGACAACAAGGACAAGTGGAACAATGAATGAAAAAAACAGATTCCTCTGTGTCTGAATGACTGTCGACCTGTATTGTGTTGTGTTTGTTGATTTCATGTTTTCCCGAAAACTCTTGACAAGTCGACAAACAGGTCGGGAGGAATTCATAATGAGAAGTGGTGAATGCGTGAGTTTACAAAAATAATGAGTGTGCGTGCGTAGGTGTGTATATGCGTGTACACGCATGGGTGGTGTATGAATAATCGATAGAAAAGACAGAAATATTCAAATAACATTACCATTATTATTACTATTAATTAATATTGTTACATTATTAGAAAAAATCATAGTTTGACCACTTTCTTACAAACATACATGGTAGAAACAAGAGGGAGGGGCGGGGGAGTAATAAAGAGGGTAAAAGTGAGGGGAAAAAAGGAAAACACACACCGGTGATCGATATTCTGGATGTGAACAAAACCGATCCCCGTGACGCACACATGCTCACACAGGGAAGCACTTACTAGTGTGTACCTCCCCACCCACCAGTCCACTCACAATACACACAGGCGCTTAAATGTTCACAAAATGACAAATACAAATATATGTGCATAAACAAAATAGATTTTAGTGGTACAAAATGACATCACATCGCATCACTCACTTTATAATACATACACACAGGAAGGAAACGGGACAGTTATATATATATATATATATATATATATATATATATATATATATATATATATAAAGTATAGCATATATCACTAATTGGCATATTCAAACACACTGTGATTATTCTCATATATTTTGCCAATTAAAGGGAAGGAAATATAGAAAGAAGGATCTGTATACGTATATAAGACACTTGGATAGGTCGTGGCGGTGTGTGTGTGTGTGGCTCTACACGGATACTTTGGAATGATTAGTGAGACTAAGATAGAAAAAAAGTAGAGATACCCACGCTCCCAGAACCCATCCCACCCCTGAATGAAAGGCGATGATAATATATGTGTTGTGTGTTATGACAGATGAAACAAACTGTCATCAAAAATGTTAATTAACACCATGAATTTCGTTGAGAAGTCACATTTACGCAGTGACGATAGTTAAGAGGATCGAAGAAAATACACAGCAAGATGTCATATAAAAATGATGGGGGTGGGGGGCGGGGAATGGAGCGGGACGACGGAGTGTGACGCGAGGTGGTGGTGGTGTATCAACGAAACCACCTATTAATAAATAAAGAAATAAGAAAAAGCTTTTCAAACAAATTGAAAAATAACAGGCACTAGCGGTTGTTACTTCATCATCATCTATTGTTTACGAATATTACAAGGAATAATAGTAATAATAATATTGCTAATATTAGTAGTAATAATCATAATAGTGATAGCAATAAGAATAATAATCAATTATTTTGTAGAGTAGTAGATTAGAAATTGAAAGACACATCATCACAAAAAACACCCCCCTATCTACTATATTCATACATACATAATGAAAAAACGCCCACACACATAAAGAAATCTAACCAATCAAAACACGCACATGTTTGGTAGGACGAAAAAGGCAGAGGGTAGAACAATAATGAGTGGGTGGATGTATATGCTGAACACATGTTAGAAAAATAATTATTATTATTTTAACAACAGATTAACTCTCATCATTAAATAAGAGTTAGTGGAGAGGCGGACAGTGATTGGCTAGATGTAATGATGCTGTTGTTCGTAGTCGCCACCGTTGTGTCGTGGTGGTGTACATTGACATATGAAAAATTGTACAAAAAAAGTCTATTGTTTTAGAATAAAAAATATCTATAAGCAGTTGTTGTTAATAACAAAACGAAACTATAAACATAACAAAAAAACTGATTGTAATTGTTGTATTTGTATAGCAGTGTAATAAATGATGATCTGGGTTCATCTGTGTGGGGATCTCTCTCTGCTTCTCACTCCACTTCGCTTACCCAACCATATGCACACACGTACAGACACGCACAAAATAGGTGAAATGACCAGAAACAAGAAGAAAAGACAACATATTGTCAAAATATGTGTGTACCAACCAGCAAGATGGATCGTCGTTACATACAGACATGTGAATAGGAAAGAAGAAGAAGAGGGGGTAAAGGAGTCCCATCTCGGAATCGACACATGCTGTACATCATCCTCATCCTCATCAACAACAAGAGTATAGAATGGGGGGGTAGGGGACTAGGCACTTTTACAATTGTACACTCTACTCAAAGAAAGACAAAGAAAAATTTGTAGAATGAAGGGATGGAAGAAATCTGAATCGATTAGTAAAAAAAAAGGAAAATGAGCACTCACATACACACACAGAAATATATATATATACGGGTGTTTTTTCTTTCTTATTCATTGATTGGTTGATTAGTGTGTTCACACATCCACTACTCTCAGATGAGTTTATCAAGTTGAAGCCTATCTGTAAGAATTGATGAGACACACCCACACATATTAGCAATCAATCTCAAGGACGGTATATCCCTCAGCCAGCATGTATGCACTATAGCAAATTTATTGTTCACATTGACCCTGTAACAAAAACAAAAAAGGACAGTTATAGAACAATATAAAGTTCAGATAGGTTTCATTTAGTCAGGAAAAATCTACATAGACATAGCGATAACTGTGAAAAACCGTTCGACGACGCATAGGCATACATAGCAGCGACGTCAAACACCCTTGGCACATTTCTTGACGGCGAAATTCAACAATAGCGTCATCCCAGGAGTGTGAACGCTCCAATGACCTTGAACGCATGCTAGCTGTCGTTGGCTAAAGACACCACCTGTCATTATCATAGCTGAAATATCAACTCTATTCACCAATTTAGGAGCAAATTTCGGCCAGATGACGTTTGTTTAAGTACTGTTTGGACAGTGTGTTAATAGCTTGTTAGGTTTAGGATTAGGGTTAACGTAAGTATTGGGGTTATGGTTAGGATCAGGGTTATAATTAGTATTAGGGTTAGAATCACGATTTGGATAAGGCTTATGAATAGGGTAAGGATCAGGGTTAGTGTTAGGGTCAGGATTAAGCTTATGGTTACAATTAGGGATAGATTTATAGTTGATGTTATTTATTTTAATTTGTTGTATTTTCCACGTCTTCCTGCTAAGCGGTCGTCTATCCTCTTGCTAGAAACCATGATAAATTCAACCGAGGTCTGTGTTTGGAAGGCTTCAAGCAGGATGAGGGAGATAAACGATCCACAGAAAAAAAAACAGTTTATCTGTAGTCATCTCGGTGAATACATGTACAGAAACTAGTCTATCTTAGCAACTGGCACTCCTCAATATAACTAGGACGTGTTTTTAAGCCATGTCAAAGAAAGATAACCTGAATATTAGTGCGTTTTCATCAAGCATTTTCTTGTCAATATACCTCATCATTCTTCGAGCAAACATTCCTCATATTTATGATTGGTCAGCTGAGGGTCACTCGTGCATCTGCCTTCCTGGGACGCCATTGTTGAGCTTGACGCCGAAGGACCGACCACTAGTTTGATTTCTGATAAGAAGCCATGCATTTAACAGCAGTCTGATTAGGGGAATGTTATGTCTATTCTTTCTGATATAACTGTATATTCACTTTTAACGATGATAATACTAATTAAAAATACTAATTAATGAAATCTCAGACAAACTTAAAAAAAGTATTATGATGTCTCTCAACAATGTACATACAACGACAAGTCCTGTTAACTAACTAAACATCTCAACTCTTCTTTCACATGAATGAATGAATTCGATTTACAATAAGAACATGTGTATATGTGTATGAGACTGACTATGATGTATGCTTGAATAATGACGTTTCCTACCTACCTACTACCTAACTCACTAGCGACTTGCCCTATTCAGGTACATAGTTACCTGGAGTCCTAGTGAGAAGTCGTGACCAGTAGGGTGCAGCAGGTTGGATGTGAGGACAAATACTCTCCACATATGACATTGGCTAGGGGCCGCGTTATGTTGTGAATTAGCAGAAGTTGGAATTCGTGGGCTGGCTGGCCATTGGATCTGGTCCCAGTGGCTTAACGGTCTACGAGCTCTCCAGAAGGTCCTGGGTCCAATCCCACTTGTGGTGGGTGCCTACTGATGAAGAGTCCAAAACTAGGACGGAGGAAACAGCTGTCCAGTACTCCTTGGTAGGTTTTCCAATGGTTCTCTAACCAATGTCAGCTCACGATAAAATCCTATTCACATATTGTCTGAAATAAAGCTTTATTATTATACTACTAAATAGATAGTGCACCTCTGCTCACAGTTCCACGTTAAAACTCACTCACTTAGCCAGTCCAGTCAGTCAACAGTTAATATGATGACAAAAAGAATTCCCGCACACATTGAGTATGTCATCTCTGTCTTTCTATTAACAAAAATTGTCTCAATATCTGTGTATGCGTGTGTGTGTGTGTGTGTGCGCGCAAGCTACTTACACACATACTACTGTTCATGAATTAAAAACAATACACATAGAACAATGAATATGTGTAGCTCTGTCTCTACTAAACTACTCACGATAATTCAATTCGCAGTAGCCCCACAAATTCAGACATACACATTCAACAGCTCGATTTCACCTTCACCTAAATCGTAAGTTGTGTTAACAGAAGCTGCCAACACACAAGCTCTATTCAGGTATTTTAATTAACTTTTGGCGTTTTGTCTGATCGACATCAACATAACGTTGAAAAACCAATCAAAATAGTCTTATGATAACAAAACAAAACAAAAAAAGATAACACAACAAGTTATTTGGTGTGGATGGTAACTAGCCCTGGAATCCACGATGCGAACATTTTGTCCCATTTGAGACTAGTCACAACTGGATGTGATGTGATGACGGTTTTCCTCCGCTGAGGCTCGGAACCTAGCAGTCATCAACTATATCAAATGCTAAAATTTTAATCCGCTAGACCACTCAGGCCGCCACGAGTACTACTAACCCCCTCCTGTACAACATGTTTTATTCATTTATGTTTAATTTATTAGGGGATTTCATCATGAGCTGACATCAGTTAGAGAACCATCGGAAAACCGACAGGGAGTAGTCCACAGACAGCTTGTTTCGTCCCATCTAGTTTGGGGCTCTTCATCAGTACGCATCTACAGACACGGTTTAAACCCAGGACCTTCTGGTTAGAAGGCGAGCTAGCTCGTAGACCATTAGGCCACTGTAAACCCAATCCAATGGTCAGCCAGCTCATGAATTCTAATTTCTTCCAATTCATTACATAGCGCCACCAATTCGCAATATCTTCTTCGATGAGTTACTGCGTCACCTTCAACACCTGCTGTACCCTTCATCTAACCAATCAAAAAAGAAATTCCCTACGAAACCAATACTTGAAAATATGATTAATTTAATTTTGATTTTCTCGTTGATTGATTGCACCAAGCAGGTGTACACAGTTTCGTTAAAATAAAAATCACTGTAAACCAACAACCGACTATTTCCATTCCTTATTCGGTGGAATACATGAGTCATCTTTCGCGGGTTAAATAAGACATATGGATAACATTCCGGCGTTTGAAAGCATGCATAGTGTAGACAGTTCAAAGCTTATTAGGAAGATCATCATTCACTGAAGTATATATCTAACTGACGAGCCCCAAGTAGGACGAAGTGGGCAACCACTGGATTCCACTGTTAGTCGCCATCAACCAAAATTACTTCAAGTTAATCCTCAGACATCGTTGAAGCATCCGCACTAGGAGGGGAGAGCTGACATATCATCATCATCATCATCAACAGAGGCCAAAACATTTCGGGTTCAGTCAAGCAAAGGGGAGTGCGTCGGTGGAACAGCCAGAAATGATGCTAGTAAAGAGGAAAGGTTGGGGGTGGGGCTGGCAACCCCATCCTATAAAAACTAAACACTGCTACAGAAACTTCAAGCCACTAGCTTGGAGCCCTATGTTCCACTGGGAACGTGAGGGAAAAAAAGCAACGGGGAAATCAAGATTGAATTTTAAAAATAAGCGAAACATCACTCTTACAGGTGTATAGAAAATGAGCATGGAAACAAAATTGCAATAATAATTTTCAACTTGAAATAGAAGCTAAGAGGTGTGAATATAGATTACAAGAGCCTTAGAAACACAAAAGGTGCACAGGATTAGAATATAATTGTAAAATAGTTATTTTAAACGAATCATAAATGTGAGCAGGAAAAGCATGGAAACAAAATTAAAATAACTGTTCTTATAGATGAAAAAATGGGGTGAAGCGAATGACGACAGAGAGAGAGAGTAAGAATGACACACACGCTGGAGAACATTACCCAGAGTACTGCAGCAAAGAGGAGGCACCGATTCAATCAGAAGTGCCATTATTGAACATCTGATCAACAACCCCAACACCACAACATCTCAACTGATTCTTTTAATGTAATTTACAAAGTCAGAAACAGAAACCTACCAAAAGCAGTATGTTTCCAACTTCTCTCTATATACTGCAGAAGCCCTCACAATATGCATCGAGAAGTCGGAGTTGTGTGTTCAAAAGAAATTGGTCCAACCTCTACAACTACCATGGACCTAGTTCGGTATGTTCCCTTTGCTTCCGTTTTGTTCCTGTTCTTTCGTTCTTTTTTCTTTATGATCTTTTTCCGTTGGCTGTGTGTGTGAGTGGTTCTTACTCCCTCTGTCTTCATTCGATTCACCCGACTTTTTCGGTTATAAAAACAGTTATTTTAAGTTTGTTTCCATGCTCCTCCTGATCATATTTATAATTCGTTTAAAATTAACTATTTTACAATTATATTCTAATCCTGTGCACCTTTTGTGTTTCTAAGGCTCTTGTAATCTATATTCACACCTCTTAGCTTCTATTTCAAGTTGAAAATTATTATTGCAATTTAGTTTCCATTCTCATTTTTACACACTTGTTATCCGTTCTAATCCTGTGTTAAGTTTATTTCTAAACCTCTTGTAATTCATATCAAGTTGAAAATAATTGTCACCTTTTATTCGCCGTCGTATTTATGTATCCATGTAAAACTATGTATTTAAATGCGTGTGTACAGGTGCTTTTGAGAATGAAATCGCCGAAAAGATCAACATATTTGCTGAACACTTCGTGTTCTCTTCTTTCTGAACATCACTTTAACGATAATTCCAACATTGAATAATTCCATTCGATAAAAAACCCACAGACAGTATTACTGATTTGACTGATGTTTTAAGCACAATCTTACTGCTGCTCACATAATCACATCTAGATGTTGTATTCACTCACACATAACTTTACACTATGCATTTCTTATCCATTGATTTTTTAATGGTAGTAATATTTTCCATGATGTTACATCATTCCTTATTGCATCGCATTCCAGTGACTAAACACACTGCCTCTCCACCTATTTAAACATATTACTTTTAAGAATTCTAACGCTACCCTCCCATCTCCCTCATCCCAACCCATGCTGTTGTGTGATTACCCGACCGAAAGCTGCTACCTTGACGTGGTGGTCGGGCTTGAACACCGCAATGACCTATTCAAGCTATACTGGCTGAGACTTATGT